GGGGGAGGGTGAGTTGGTAGGTGAGGGGGTGGGGTGGTTTAAGTGAGGAATTGCTGATTTTAAAAGAGACAAAACTTGAGGCGGATGATAACAAGACAAACCTGGGCCAGCGGAGGACTCGCGTGGATGCAGCATCACCGAGGCTGTCATTAACATCCCCAAAAATACGCCAAATCGAACAACGAATAACAAATAAGAAAAGATTAACGGCAAGAGTCAAAACTAACATGAGTAGCAATAACATTGTTATTTTTATTATATATATCATTTGTATTAAGGTTTGATGCTCAAACATGAGCGGGAATTTTGAAAGAAAAGCTCGAGGACGAATCGAAAAGAATATTCCGAACATCACAAGGCTAGAGTGACATTCGAAAACGTGTTGTTTCGATAGAGTTTTTTTTAAGAAAAAAGTTACGAGAAATTATAGTAAAGCTTCTAGGCTTCACAACGCCGTTAACAAATCTTACGCCGCAAAAAAAAATAACAACGTTCCAAAAATGATGGCAGTGTCAGCTTCAGTGCGGGCTTTACTAACAAGAAATTCGCTTAGTAGTTCTTAAGCTATTCGATCAAGTTCGTAAAATAACTGAATTGCTAAATCGTTAATTTCAAATAACTTTTATTACTTTTATCCTAGTAAATTATGTGAAGACATTATTGTTGGCAGAGTAGATACGGAGATCAACTCTCTATACCTTTAAATAAATTCATTTATTTCAAAATTATTGGTCGGCTCCGTGCATACTGCTGCTAGCAGTTTACTGCATTTTATTTATTATTTTTAAAAAGCTCATAATTTTGTTCATAGTACCGAACATTCAGCGCATACAATTCAGATCATGCTATTAATTCATTTTATCGTAAACGTACTCAAGCGTGAGAATGAGTTTCCACAAATTTAAATTAATAATTAAAGCTAGTCACAATTTCCTATTATACACGAATTTTTAAGTGATTTTTACAGTTATTTTTCATTCCATTATAAAGAAATATATTATTCGCAGACGAATAGAGTACGAAGCGACGAGCGAGGCGGCATTCAGCAGCTGTGGTTTTAATATCAGTAATCAGGCGAGTAGACTGGCTGAATAAAAACTCAGTCAACACGCCACATCCGTTACCATTATTTCAGATCTTTAAGATATTTCACCATTATAACAGTAGAAATTGACTAAATGGGTTCAAAATATATTCAGGAGATATATTTTATAAATATATCAAACTATAAGACTAAATATGCAGTGTCAGGAGAAGTTCTAAGACTAAATATGCAGTGTTGCGTCGCCTAGGTTCGTTCCATGCACGCATTTTAGAATAATACGTAGCTTCGACAGTTGCTATGTAGTACCGGATATTTCTAGCAATGATACTCAGAACAATGATACTTCGAACAGCGATATTCTGAACGCTGATATTCTCAACAATTAAATTTCAACAATGAGACATATATAGCGGAAGATGGTGCGTAGAGCATTCAAGTATCACTGTCCCAAACGTGTCGGTGCACTTCTCTAAAGATAACTATCGCACTACTGTGAATTGATCACAAAGTTTTACAATATGCTATTACTTACCAGTTTCTAAATCGTTTAGTCTGGAAAACACAATTAAAAGTTTAGAGCGAGGATTGGACTGGCAAGAAATGGATTCAGTCAAAACGGCGAAGTAGAATAACTGGATAAAAAAGAAACGAATAACAGAGTTTGTAGCATTCTTTTGACTGTTAAAGTCAGTGTTTGTAGCCGTCTTTGACTGCTACAGCCAGAGTTTGTAGCAGTCTTTGACTGCTACAGTCAGAGTTTGTAGCAGTCTTTGACTGCTACAGTCAGAGTTTGTAGCAGTCTTTGACTGCTACAGTCAGAGTTTGTAGCAGTCTTTGACTGCTACAGCCAGAGTTTGTAGCAGTCTTTGACTGCTACAGCCAGAGTTTGTAGCAGTCTTTGACTGCTACAGCCAGAGTTTGTAGCAGTCATTGACCTGTCTCTTATACACATCTAGATGTGTATAAGAGACAGGTCTTTGACTGCTACAGTCAGAGTTTGTAGCAGTCATCGACTTAGCAGTCGATGATTATGAGTATAAACTTAATAAAGAGAATTGAATGATGGTGGGTTAATAATTATTAATTAAAAAGGAAAAGCGTCTATGAAAAGATACGAGAGTTATTCCACGATAAATTTCAAAGTCATAATACAGATTTACAATGCAAACTGTTGAAAGTTCACTGCAAGATCTATAGCATGTAACTAAGGCGGTTTGAATTTTAAATGCAATAATCATCTGGCATATTTTCCCAAGCTCAAAAAATACATTCTCTAATGACACATTTTTGCCATCGGTCTGAACGGAAAGGCTACACGTGCTAAAAAAATTATTTAAAAAATTCCCAGACCACACGTACTTCTCCAATATATCATTGGAGAATTATTTCGATGGAGTTTAGAAAAAGTTTATTATTATGGAGTTTAGAATTAGTCAGCAGCTTTACTTACTAATATCGAGAGCTCGTACCAAAAGTTGTCACCGAACATTTTAAATACCTCGATCAAGTGGCGTTCTGATACAGATTTTTCTTCAGAGTGTGCGGGTAGTGGAAAGTTTCTCGGTGTTCAAGGAAGGTCCCCCCTGCTCCTCCGTACCCTAAAACCATCTGCAACAATTGATCATTTCCTTAATGCGTAACGGGACGACTAAAGCAGACGCCACGTCCTCCAAGTGAGAGGTTCTCATTATTTTCAGGCACGGCGAACAGTGGCAGTGTAGCAGGAACAAAGCTTCAACAATTAAGTCATAAGCAGGTTTTCGCTTTCGCTCAGCCCGTTAAATTAGTTTTGAGAGCAACACATCCTACACCAGCGAATTAGAGGATTGGTTACAATTGTTATTGAAATCCAACTGTCAATTTTCACGTTTCAGCTATACATGTTGAAGCACTGTAAACGAATCCCATCTCCCAAATATT